GTGTCGGATGAGACTCGCTCTTGGATCGTTACTCACACTTGCGTGTGGCTCCAACGATGATGTGTACAGCTGCCCATAGAACCTCTCAATCTCACTCAAAATCTCAGGTGTCCCGGAAACGATGCTGCCACATTCTGTCTTCAGCTTTGACAGTTGGCTCTTTCTGGCAGACAGATCTCTGGCAAAGACTTTGGAGCCTTGGTTCCGCTCGATCGCTTCTTCAATACGAGCTGTATTGAAGTTGCGTAAGTCCCGCCGCATGCATTTGGAGATCTGTCTGTTCAGATGCCTGTATGCTGTCAAGTCTGTTGAAGAATGTAGCTTCATCTCCCGTCTAACAGCCATGAGATTAAGAGTGTGATCGGAGAGTTTTTGTGTTCTTCTGCGGCGGGTCTTGCAGAACTTAGCTCCAACCGCATGGACAGTTTCCACGAGATTGTCATTCATATCGTCCACTTCATTGCAGTCTTCCTGGCCCTGAAAACGGTTTTGTAACTCGAGCTGAAAGGTTTCGGGACTCTGGAACAGAGCACGAGGGGGACGGAGCGTTGACTTCATTAGACGAGACCTCTCCAACTTAACGTTTAGGTTCAGTGTGCCTCTAACCATTCGGTGATCACTACCAGTTTTCACCCTCGCGATCACGGAGACATCACTGAACAGTTGTCGTCTGGTCGTCATAATGAAGTCAATCTCATTTTTTGTCGAACCGTCAGGGCTCGACCAGGTCCAAGTCCTGTGGGGCCGTTTCTGGAAGAAAGAGTTTATCATAAAGAGTCCCTGTTTCTCCATGAAGTCGGCCAGCTGCTGGCCCCTTGGGTTCCGTTGCCCTATTCCAAATTTCCCTACTTTCAGCTCACCGTTCTCTCTTGTGCCTAGTTTTGCATTGAAGTCTCCCATTAACACCGTATATTGGGTTTTGGAGGAATGCATGGCTCTAGAGATATCCTCATACATTTCCTCCACCTCCTCATCGGGGTGTGCCGAGGTTGGTGCGTAAACCTGTATGACCTTCAGCGAATACCATTTGGTGATTCTGAGTATAAGGTACGCAACCCTCGTCGACACACTCCCGATTTTTACAACGTTGTTAACGAGAGACTTGTGGACGATAAATCCGACACCTCCTTGGGACAGATGGTCGCCCTCCCGGTGATAGAGCAAGTTGCCTGATTCGAGGATTACCGTGTCCTCCCCCTCTCTTCGGACTTCGGATAATCCTATAATATGCCAGCGCAACTTGTCTATCTCTTCTTCCAGCTCCACGATCTTCTCGTCAGTCCTCAGGGTGCGTGCGTTGTACGTTGCCAGGTCGAGTCGTCTAAGGTGGCAACCGAACCTCCACCGGAGATTCTTAGCACCTCCTGCCCCGCCGTTACCATGGTCGCCACCGTAGCCAGGAATAGCGGGGCCGCCGGGGACTGGGGGCCGTTTTTTTGTTGCTCTCATCATTGGGGGGTATTTGCCATAGTTGCCACGCTTGGCGAGCGGGTTGGCAACCGCAGTTTTTTTATTGTAATTTGGCTATTATCAGGAAGATGCTGCTGCCCATCTCCTGGCTGTTTCCCTTTGTCGCCTTTTACGACACCCACGGGAGGATATGGGGTAGTGTATATTCTTGACCGCCACTACACGGCACGGTTATTAAATTTAGCTGCTACAAAATAAAGATTCATTTCATATTCTTATGTTATTTATGACTTTCCTATTTAATATTACTTCCAAAATATAATATATTTGGCTCGTATAATATCCACTTAAATTTACTACAAATTGTAAGAAACATAGGGAAACAACCCAGGAGAGAGGCAGCTTCGTCTTCCTAATAATAACTAAATAATATAAAACTGCGGTTGCCTGTCAAACATAACAATTATGCCAAACATCCTTCCTATGAGGCAGTCTAAGGGGGAGGCATATGTTTAACAGTTGATTATTGATAGGTTCTATTATATGAAAATATAATTTATAAAATGATGTTGTATAATTTGTATGTTAATACCCACCTACGAAAACTTGCTTAAAACTCTTATGTTTTGCAAAGAGTTAATCTAAGATGTCTCATAAGAGTTTCTGACGATCTTGTAATCATGGAATAATCGCTGCAAGAACTTGAGGAGATATTGAGCAGACTATATAGATCCTCCCGACGTCTTTTTCTGTGTATAAATCATCAAATATGATGACAAAAGTCATCGACCGACTGTCCAAGCCGAATCTTTGACACTGATGGTACGACTACTCCACAACATATTTCATTAATCCCTAAAGATCACCAGCGGTCATTGCAAGAGGCTATGGTTGGCGATTCTGTAGTGGATAAAATTATTCCTAATAAAGAATTACGCCGGAAAGCCAAGATTACTGACATATTCTTCTAGGTTTGTAAACTGAAAAGGCAATAGGCTAATTTCGTTTGTTTTTTAATTGACAACGGTTGGAGCAGACGAGTCATAAAGTGCAGACCACACCTAAATTTTGAATTTTCTACCTGAAAATAACGGTGCGCCTCGCAATCGATATAAAGTGGTCCTCTAAAGTTTGGAGAGACCAGCTATGATTTCAAAAGGTAATGGTTAAATGTGATGTTTATGTAATTCCCTCTGTTTAGAGCCTTGTTGAATATTTAGAGACAATGGCAGGACAGCCGACGGTATGATTAAACCTAGCTTTACCTCTCTCCCTCTCTTACTCTGCTGCTTTCGGAAATAGTTTTGTAAATTTAACTTTTATTTCTCTTTAATGGCAATTTTATGTAGATTGTCAATAGATTCTTATGAAATTGTTAGCGTGATTAAGTGTTTACGTAAGATTATATTGTTTGACATGATTCTTGGCTTTTGATTTTTTGCGCGGAACCCTAATTGTTTTTCTATAACAAAAGTATTCTAAGTTACTCCTCATAACATCAGCTATCTGCCACTGAGAGTCCCGTCAAAATCGGTTCAGCCATTTCGGAGATTAGCCGGAACATATACAGTAAGGAATCCACGTATATGCAGTAAATAAAACCGCAAGTAATAGTGGTCCATAGAAGTGTAGAAAAATTAAATATTAAATTAAAGCCCATAAATTAAAAAAGTGAAATTTTCAAACAAAATAAATCTATACAAATAAATAAAATTGAAGAGTCTGTTTGTAATGTCAAAATTACAGCTTTTTACTAATTGCATATGAAAGTATATAAGTACGTATAACTAAAACACAATTTTTATAATGTTTGTCTGTCTGTCTGTTTGTTCCGGCTAATCTCCGAAACGGCTGGACCGATTTTGACGGAACTTTCACTGGCAGGTAGCTGATTTTATAAGGAGTAACCTAGGCTACTTTTATTTTAGAAAAAGAATTAGGGTTTCGCGCAAAAACATAAAAACGCTAACACGCGAGCGAGGTCGCGGGAAACAGCTGGAATTAAAATAAATTCAGTAAAAGTAAACACTCTGTTTAGACTACGTACCTTGACCCCTTAGAAGAGTGGCAACGTTGCACGTGGGCACGGCCTTTGATTCGTTTGACAATGTACGACGAAATAAAAACTTACTCACTAAACTGTTCAGCTATTTTTACCGCTACTTATTTATTTCGCGATAGTGCAACTGAACGAAATAAATATTATTGCATATTAGTTGCAAAATTTAATTGAACCCTAAATTTTAAAATTTTCATAATGTCCGCCACGTTCTTGAATGCCTTGTGCATTTACATTACATCGCCGCATAATGTTGACAAAAACTAATAAAAATAAACGCATTCAAAAACACTATTTACACACACAAAGTCAATTAACTAATAAGTGTCCATTTAACCGTAAAAACATTGTTTGAATAACTGTATGTATCTTAAGAAAAATAAATCACTTGAAGCAAAGCGCGTAAGCAGCGAAACGCACCTGTATCCTGGAATATTGGCGGTGAACTGAAAGCGAAACTTCCAAATTCCAAAATGGCGAAAATAATAAAAATAATAAATAGGACAGTCAGAAGGTGCAATTATCGTTTATCGACACTTCTGTTTACACTAACTTACCTACTACAAGACATTTGAATACAAGTAATTTTGATTTTTAATTTGATAACAATTGACAAGTTATTGATTGTTAGAAAAAATCGTTTATTTTTGTACAATTGAACATACGAAAGTACCGTTTTGTGACTTCCTAGCAAACGGGTAAGTAAGTATGACTTTTTAATTGGTTGTTTTTATGGGTTTTTTATCATGTCAAAATAATTTATTACATATCTCTAAATCTACAAGAACACGCTTACCTTTAAAGTTTAGCTTTAAAATACTTAGGTCGTAGTGTTTTTAGAATTATCATAACAGAACGTTAATTGTAAAAACACCATGGCCTAAGTATTTTAAGCTTAACATTATTTTTTATGTTTATCGATCATTACTCGCTTTTAAATAACCTAATGGTCGATTACAATAGGTGTCCTACTCTATAGAAAGGCGGCGCGCACTTTCGCCGTCGCCTTTGAAGAGCACCGCGTGCCCCGTGCCGCTTGTTTATGGACGCCGCCAAAAGACACCGCTGTCAATACGTCGTAATAGTTTGCACTGCGTGGCAACGTCGCTTTTTAATGTTCAAGGATTCTAGTTCATTGAATCATTGACTTAGTGACCCAATTCTATAGAGAGTTCAAATTTGCTTAAAATTAAAACTCTATTTTTTGACCTAATTACTGGACCGATTACGTAAATTTTGTGTATATCGTCAGCAAAGGCGATAACAAGTATGTGGTTTCATTTATTGCCTATATGTGCGATCCCTCCTGTATAATAGACAAATAGACAGACAGACAAAAATTTTTATTACGTAATTTTTATATATACATTCATATGAATTTAGTCAAATGATGTTATTTTGACATTACAAACTGATACTTCAAATTTATTTATTTGAATAGAAGATGAACAGTAATGAGTTACTCCTGCTGTCATTCTGTAGTAGGTACATATATTTTGATAAAATTTATATTTTTACAATCTAAATAAACTTGAGATTATTTCAACCATACTTGGTCTCGTTAAACTATAAACTAGGCCATGGAAAGGGGCTTCACGATAAGAGATCTACAGTTGAAGTTTGTCTAACGAAACTAGTAATTAGGTAATGAAAGTTATAAAAACCATTGAATAAATGTTTTTTTTCTTTTACTTAACGTATTAAAATGAAATAAAACTGAAATAAATATATTTCTTCGACGTAAGAAATAAAAAGTAGGTTTGACAAATGCTATTTTTTATAACCAACTAAGCGTCGTTACGAAATGAAGCTCCTCTGTCCGTAGAAGAAACGGCTTACAAAACTCCGCAGGTATCCTTTTTTGTCATTTATCTTTAAATCTTCTGTCTGTAATATATGACTAAACGGGTGGACCGATTTTGATGAAAATTTGTGTGAGAGAATGGTTTACATTTACAATTGGATATGGTAGGTAGTGCTGTTATCGATATCGAGAGAGTGTAACATAAAACAGTATAAAGGTAGTTAACTAAAGGTTTTATGATAAACTAAAAAGGACGTTATAAATTGAAGGTCATTAGTGTATCTATTTAGTTTTACAATTAATATAAAATTCAAACATTATAATTTAATGGTAAGGTATGTTTTGTAATTAAAAATATAATAAACTATCATTAAAAAACAAAGCCAAAGTTTAGGTATACGCACATATAGTTATAGTTCATTTCAAATAGGATGGCAGGATTCCACTTGAGACTTAGCAATTACAGCTGTAATGTTAATCTATTGTTGTGTGATTATTTTATTGCTTTAACACTTGAAGTTAAGCATCTGTTGATAATACTGAACCAGTATAGATGGAATGTCGAATTTTGGTACTTGAACATTAAAACAAATTAAATTGTAGATAAAAAATCTTTAAAAAAATTTTTTGGAAGAATGTTTGTGACCATGTCATAAGAGTGGAAAACGAATTTTCGAGGGATCGGATACAACCATTTATAATAAATACGTGTGAGGACACAGATACCGATGAATGTTCTTCAGAGTGATTGATTAAACAAAATATTAACAAGTTGTTATAAGTATTTAAAATAGTTAAGTTAAAAGTAATAAAGGTTTTTTATCTACAATTTAATTTGTTTTAATGTTCAAGTACCAAAATTCGTCATTCCAGCTATACTGCTTCATTATTATCAACAGATGCTTAACTTCAAGTGTTAAAGCAATAAAATAATCACACAACAATAGATTAACATTACAGCTGTAATTGCTAAGTCTCAAGTGGAATCCTGCCATCCTATTTGAAATGAACTATAAAAAAGCGTAGTGTTTGATGGCATTTTTTGTAAATATTTTACGGATTTTTGTAAAATTAGCGTCATGAGAAAAATATCTGAAAAAGCACCCCACGCATTTTTACATTATAATGATGTAATTTTTGTAATTTTACCACTTGTGTTATGTTATGCTAAGGTAGTGCCTATGACTTATCCAGACGACGTACGTTGTGCTAACGTAGAGCCATTGACAAACGCGTCGTCTGTGACCTACGCGGTGTCTGCACCCCTGATGCTGTTGATGGGAAGGATATTCAAAGCTAAAGGGAGTCCGTGGACGGTTTCATGTCAGGAGGGGCCGTGCAGAGAATAAGGATAAAAAAATAAAAGAAAATTCGAACCAATGAAGGTAGAACTGACAATCTCCCACCCGTTCTAGCAGTGTAAGGTATCGCGCAGGCGACTAATGGCCCAGCTAACCCTTCATCTTGCCTGCGTAGTTCAGGCCTGTGAAGTTATGAATATACAAAAAGACAGAACACTGTGTAGTGGCCACACGTGCTTGTGTTGTGTTTTGAGAGTCATTTTTTTGTGCTTTCAATTTTCCATAAAACCGGTAACGACTTGTATAGTTTTATGAACTGAGTTAAAAATTCCTTTAAATGACTCCTTACATCACCCATTTTTTGATTTGCGACGCGCACTATGTCGATAATAAATTTCCTCGGACTGAAGCGCGGCTTGAATGACCGACTACACGTTCAACTAAAATCGTACAAGACAAGTTTGCGCAGTCCAAATCTTCAGCCAATCAACGGTCTTACAACCAGCGCTTGCGTGACTGTACAAGTTACCGTCTTGTTATCCACACGCACGCGCTTACCTGAAGCGCGGCTTGAATGACCGACCACACGTTCAACTAAAATCGTACAAGACAAGTTTGCGCAGTCCAAATCTTCAGCCAATCAACGGTCTTACAACCAGCGCTTGCGTGACTGTACAAGTTACCGTCTTGTTATCCACACGCTCGCGCTTACCTGAAGCGCGGCTTGAATGACCGACCACACGTTCAACTAAAATCGTACAAGACAAGTTTGCGCAGTCCAAATCTTCAGCCAATCAACGGTCTTACAACCAGCGCTTGCGTGACTGTACAAGTTGCCCAGTCACGCAAGCCTGCACAAACTGGTTTGTGCAGGCATGCTCGCGGGCTACTATACCAAGTTACTATGCCCACTGAGGTATTCTACAAGTGTATGCAAGGCAGATCGTGTTGCTGAGAGGCTGCCCTGTGTTACATCGAGATGGGTAGTGATGCTGTTGGTTTGCATAATTGGGTGATATCGTGTAATTGGGTCCTGATTGTAAGCAGGGTTTGTAACCGAGTAGTTTTCTTTTATTTAAATAATTTTGAGAATAAACTTCTAACATCAGAAGTGGAAGAATTTCTTACAATATATTTTGTAAAAATAATATATTTATGGCGTAGTGCATCGGTCATCTTTATCATCATTCCAGCCACTGCTGAACATATAAAGCACGGTCCATTTGCATTTAATGTCTTCTGCATCTCTTACCAGGTCGTTAGCTACTCCATTTAGTGGGGCGCCACCCTAAACTTCGCTTACCGGTACGATTCAGCCACTTGAGAACCTTTCTTTTCCGTCGTTTGTTGTTCTTTGAGCTATATGGCAGGCATATTGCCATTTCAGCCCATTGCCATTGATCCGTTAGGTAATTTCAGTTACGGTTGAGATCCCGCACGGAACATGTATTTGTATGGCCTACAAATAATTGTTCCGGGTCTAGATGTTTGTCCTTTTAAAATTTGTGTTTGTAAACTGCCGCCACGATACAGGAGAAAATCCTTGTGTGGGGGTAACGTTTTCTAAAAAAAGAAAAATGAAAAAGAAAAAAAAAGATTCCTCATACGTCCAGCAATGAAGGTCTGAAATCACTGAGATCACTCCGGCGGTGAAGCTTAAATAAATAATATAAAATGGATTATATCGATTAGTTAATACTGCTCGGTTATTAACTGTTCTTTTTTTCTTCACTTAAAAGTGAAGTAGCGTTTCATCTAGAAAATATTAACGTTTTATAAACCAAATTAGATTTAGGAGTATATTACCTTTTAAGATACATCAAGTCGTACTTTCATTATATCAATAATTTATAATCCAAGAATCTCGCGACATCTGGTGCGCGCCTAACATGAAATATTCCGATAAAATAAGGAAATATATTTGCTCTTGATGTAGATTTATTTGAATTGCGAACATTTTCAAGAATGAAGCGCGGCAATTCCCCTGGTGTTGCGGTTGTTCATGGGCGGCGGTAGTCACTTACCATCAGGTGAGCCGCATGCTCGTTTGCCCCCTCTCCTATTAAAAAAAAAAAAAAAAAAAAAATGAAATCTTCATACGTGTATATATGGATTGCATGACCTTAATATAAAAAGTTGGCAGTATATTAGGTATGACAGAGGATAAATCACAGTTATCCTCAATAAACTGTCGGTGAGGTCTTATCGTCTTTCAAGAAAAAGCCGCCAAGGGCCAGCTGGTGTTGGTGGGGTCGGGGATGTTACTTTTAGGTTCCCGTGGCAATTCCATTATGTCATTTCCCCCGCGAGGTCTGTATGCTTAGGCATTTTCACATAAAAAGAGTGTGACCTCACGCGTGGTCGAAATGAAAATTATTAATATTAATATTACTGTTACAGCATATCAAGAGCCCACTACAGAACATAGGCCTCCCTATAGATTAGTTCATAAGTTTTGATATTAGCCAAACATGACACACTTAGGAGGCGAGTTAACTGCCGCAGTTCCTTTTATTTTATAATAATAAGTTCAAGATTTAATCATTATCGATTAACTAGTTTTTTCTATCGGGCGGTCGCTTTGCAGTATTCAATTACACTTATTTATTTAAACTGCTATGATAAATAAGTAAATTTTTGCTTGTGCTTTATTTAATACATAAAATAAAACTTTTGTTAAATCCAATTGTGCATGCCTTAAGCACTCATTATATACATAATTTTTAAAGGAGTTTCAATATACACAAGTTTTCACTAACTAATCTTATTAGTATACTTTAAATTTTCCGATAACTTTATGTCAAACATTAATATAAAAAAGTTTGCACGACTGCACGACTCATTATGGCCATATGATCGAAGAAAAAAATTAAAAAAAAATTGTAAATTGTAGTTCTATTCGTCAAAGAATTCCAGTAGTAGTCTCTAAGGTACACCTTCAAGTCACTCCATAAAATACGTATATAAGGTCTTATAATAACTAACAAACCGAGCCCAAACTCGACACACCTACTTTTACTAGTCAAGGAGTTCAAGCAGCATTCATCGAAGTACACTTTAAGGTCTCATCATAACTACCAAAACGAGTCCAAATTTGGCGCACCTAGTTCTACTCGTCGAGGAGTTAAGGTGGCATTCAACGAAATACACCTCCAGTCACTTCTCAAGTCCGGAGGAAAGGTGTCTATTTAAATGAGCCCAAACCCAGCACACCTATTGCTACTCGTCGAGGAGTTCCAGAAGCAGGCATCGAAGTACACCTTCAGGTCATTTCATTAAGCCTGAAGGTAAGATCTCATAAAAACTAACAAAACGATCCCAAACTCTGTACACATAGGAATGTCACAAAGCACGGTCCTGAGCCACCTGCAACCATCGACTTCCTGCATGTTTTACCAGGTCATCTTTCCATCTAGTGGGGACGTCCTACAATTCGCCTACAGGTACGAGGCTGCCTTTGCCTGAGAATCTTTTTTCCACACCGGTTGTCGGTTCTTCGAGCTAAATGGCCGGCCCATTGCAACTTCACCTTAACAATCCTTTCAGCTATGTCGGTTACTCTTGTTCTACTGCGGATATCCTCATTTCTAACTTTATCACGCAGAGAAACTCTGAGCATAGCCCTCTCCATAGCTCGCTGAGCGACCTTGAGTGTCCTCATACGGCCAGTAGTGAAGGACCACGTCTCAGATCCGTAAGTCATCACTGGTAATACGCACTGGTTGTATAAACTCGTTTTCAGGTTTTAAGGTATAACTGACGAGGAGATGTGTCGTAACATTCCGAACGCTGCCCAGCAAAGTTAAATCCGTCGATTGACCTCTCAGTCGAACTTGGACTCACCTAGGCGGACTATTTGTCCCAGGTAAACATACTCATCAACAACTTCGATCATGGTGCTCCCAACAACTACAAGCATAGTTGTTACATGGAAATTAAACATGATCTTTGTTTTGTTCATGTTCATCTTAAGACTTATCCGTTTGAAGACACTATTGAAGTCATTGAGCATAGTGCTTAAACCCTCCAGCGATTCTACCATAAAGACTATATCGTCGGCAAATCGAAGGTAAGTGATGTAATCGCCATTGATGATAATACCGTATCCTTTCCAGTCCAGTAGCTTGAAAACGTCTTCCAATGCAGCAGTGAAGAGTTTCGGTGATATAACGTCACCCTGTGTTACACTTCTCTGCAGTTGGATAGATTTCATGCTCAGATTCTGTACTCGGTTAGCCATCGTAGCCCTACTGTACAAACACTTCAGCACTTCGACATATCGACAGTCAACTTGGCAACGCTGAAAGGACTGCAGCACTGCCAAAATTTCGACGGAATCAAAGGCTTTATCTATAGTCCACATACGCAAGGCAATGTGGAAGATTTTACTCTTCTGTCTTTTGTACAATTTGCCGATGGGTACGTACCATAGGCCTATGAGTACGTACATAGGTCTATGGTAAAAGTAAAGTAAAGTAGCAGCCTATGTCTCACTGCTGGGCACAGGCATCCTCTCATTTCTGTGAGGGTTTTAGGGCAAGGAAATGTCCGCCGTGCTGCGCCAATGCATGTTGGCGAACTTCACATCATCATCATCATCATCATCATCATTACAGCCCTTCACAAGTCCACTGCTGAACATAGGCCTCCCCCAAAAAATGCCACAAAGCACGGTCCTGAGCCACCTGCATCCATCGACTTCCTGCATGTCTTACCAGGTCGTCACTCCATCTCGTGGGGGGACGCCCTACACATGTCTTTGAAATATTTTTTTCTTATTTCTTAGACATGCAGGTTTCCTCACGATGTTTTCCTTCACCGCCGAACACGTGGTAAACGTGGCACTTAAAATTGCAACTAACAATTTCATTGGTGCCGGCGAGGATCGAACCTGGGTTGCTCGAGTGTACATCTGCCCATAGATAATAATACTTATTTGACTGTGTAACATTTAAATGTATCATGCTTAAAAATATTTCATTGACAGAACAAACATATATTATGAAGATGGATGAACAAGTTAACAGTCGAAAATGTATTCCATTACAGCCTATAAAATTCAACTGATAAACATAGGCCTCCCTCATAGATTGCCTAATGGGAGGATGTTGCCATAGTTATGTAAATAATGTCAGTGTAAAATACGTATGGCGGAAAGAGTTATCGAAATTTTTCGACTTAAAAGATACATAATAAGCAAAGGTTTTAATAAAAACATTAAAAATATATATTATTTGAGTTTAATACCTATATATTAAAACATTCACAACAGCCTAGAATGAATGCTATACGAGACCAGAATGGCTGTATTCTGAATGACGAAGTTTTGAGTTTAAGGAGATGGAAGGAATACTTTGAAAGCGTGTTTATGAGTGATGAGACGTTTGAATTAAATGAAATAGAAATTCCGAAAGAAGAGGAAATAGATAGAGATATAAGTATAGATGAAATAATGAAAGCAATGAAAAGTATGAAAGCAGGTAAGGCAGCCGGTTATGATAGAGTATCTCTCGAAATGCTAAGGGCTGGAGAAGGAGTGGTGGCAGACCTGTTGTACACCTTGTTTAATTTATGTTGGGAACTTAAGCGGGTACCGGGAGACTGGTGCAAAGCCGTGATAGTCCCAATATATAAGGGAAAAGGATCACAGCAGGACTGTAAAAACTACCGTGGTATCAGCCTTCTTAGCATTGTGGGAAATCTGTATGCTAAGGAACTAATTGAAAGAGTTATGAAAGAAAATAATGGAAAATTTTGGGATGTGCAAGCGGGATTTAGAAAGGGAATGGGATGTACGGATCAGGTCTATTCCATGCGCATGATCGCGGAGAAGTTTTTTGGCCAAAAACCAAAAAGTTTTTTGTGCGCTCATAGACTTGGAGAAGGCTTATGACAGAGTGGACAGGGATGTGTTATGGAAAACACTGAACTCATTTGGGTTGACCGCTGGTCTGATACAGGCATTGAAGTCTCTATATAGGGACTCTAGTGCTTGTGTCAGGATCAACGGGGCCTACTCGGACTGGTTTGGCATCCATAAAGGTGTCAGACAGGGCTGTGTGGCTTCCCCGTGGTTGTTCAACCTATTTATGGACAGTTGTTTGGAAAATTTGAAAGTAGAAGAATGCGGGTTAAGAATGGGTGAGTTAACCGTCAAATGCCTTTTGTACGCCGATGATCAAGTCATACTTGCATCGTCGGCAGCCGAGTTGCAAATGATGGTTACATTAATGAACAGGACATTAAAAGAAAAGGGAATGAAAGTGAACGCAAGTAAGACGAAAGTTATGGTTTTTGAAAGAGAAGAAAGTAAAACGATATGTGAAATAAGAATAGAAGGGAAGTTGGTAGAGCAAGTAGATGAGTTTGTATATTTGGGATGTGTGTTAAGCAGGGATGGTAGATATGATAAGGATATAGAACGACGAGTGAATGCAGGAAATAGAGTGAATGGGGCTCTACACTCTATTGTGAAAAGTCAGAATGTGTCCAAAAAGGCACGTATGGCAATTCACAATGCTGTATTAGTACCTACTTTAATGTATGGTAGTGAAAGTTGGGTGTGGCAGAAGAAGCATGAGAGTAGAATAAATGCTGTAGAAATGCGGTCATTAAGGAGTATGTTAGGGATAAAGCTGAATGACAGAGTGAGAAATTGTTTAATAAGAGAAGAGTGTGGTTTGCAAGATGATGTTGTGATCAGGATTAAGAAAGGAGTGCTTCGGTGGTTTGGCCATGTAGAAAGAATGAATCAGGAAAGAGTGACAAAGCAAATTTATGTTGCAGAGGTGAACGGCATAGTCGGGAACGGTCGCCCTAGGCAAAAGTTTATCGACCAAATTGGCGATATATTAAAAATGGGCCAAATCAAGAGTACCTTTAATCGACGAGCGTGTATGCGTAGGTATATGGATGTGGAGGAAGCGAGAGAGGTGTGTCAGGATCGTGCCAAATGGAAGTCCATAATCTCTGCCTACCCCTCTGGGTGACAGGCGTGAGTGTTTATGTTATGTTATGTTATATTAAAATATATATTTTAAAATAGAAAACCGTAAAATTAAAAAATTGAATTATATTGTTTAAAAAATATATGCACTGTAAAACAATAGAATAAAAAACCGACCAAGTGCGTACCGTGCCACGCACAATGTAGAGGTAGGGTTCCGTAGTTACCCGTCACAATACGTCGGCTTCCTGGATAATGAGCATAATAAGTGAGTTTGCGGTTTGTCCGCTATAACGACTAAAATGGGCCCAAAAAGAAAGATTTACGATCTTTCTTAGTGAAGGACTTATTTTCAAATCAGCCTTAACGGCAGTGAATTTCAAATAATATTAATAAAAAAACTTTTCGAATTTAGTAATTTTACCCTATCTATGGTGCAAATGAAAAAGTAAAGTTAATAGTAGTAAATCATACAAGTCGTTTTCTTCATAAGAAGTTTATATTTAACAGTTTACAATAACATTACAAGTTATTAATGAAGCTATTTTTAGGTCATTTTCAACATTTTTAACAACATTTTTAGTAATTCAAGTACATTTTGTAAGTTGGTCGACTATTACTCGTTAATCTCCTAGTTATACTTAGCTGTAATAGTTTTCCTTTTAACTTCAATATATATACTACTGTTGTGTATTCTTTTCACATTTCCAAAAACAACGGTTTAGTTGGTAGAGGGGAGGGGAGACACATTACTTTAATGAAAAATACTACTTTAAATCTAAATATTTTGCAATCTGACCTCTGAATAAAAAATGTTGTTGCAAACCCCTAATGTTTCTGTAAGACCTAATTAACAACACCCTATGTTCACGCCCGAACGCTGGTTTCGGAATTTGACGCCAGAGGGCGCTCGGCTCGGCGCCATACCGGTTTTGACGTTCGGTCGAGGGTGTGGCGAGGGCGCGCGAGCGCAGGAGTCGTTTGCCAGCTGTGCTTGGGACAGCACGCTGTCATTTTTTTGTGCGGGAACGCGGAATAGTTTATGCGTGCCTAGTAAATATACTGTTTAGCATCGTATCGCGCATTCCTTGTTTGAGAGCTTTTCCCGGGACTTCTTGTGTCTAACTCAGAATCTGTATAAGGGTATTCGACAATATTGCTACTACTGCGGCATTTGATATTCTAGAAATAATTGTTGCCACGCGAAACGGTAGTGAACTTTGAGCCGGACATTCGTGTTCGCGCGGTGTTTTACGTTTTTGCTTATAGTAAAGGGATTTCGTATAGACCGACATTCTGTATTTGTGTTGGGTGTTACGCTTTATAACAAATTAGAGTTAGTGGCTTCTGGAAGTTAGTTAATTGTGCGATAAATTTAAGGACTGTCCTCGTGACGAACGAAGAAAGTGACTGTGGACGACTCCGCGGAAGATTACCACAATTTGGAGCGGTGCTGAAGTCCGAGCTGCTGCCGAAGGCAACGGTCTTATAAGTTCTACCACACTCAGTCACACACAGATATACATCACTGACCCTTACTTCCCAAGCACCATACAACCACATGCGACCTGACCGAACCCTGAGGGACCAGTCGCCTTGGATATAGGTAGGTAAGCTCGGTTTTAATATTCTCCCTGTTGAATGGCAGTAGGATAGAACGCTCCCCCTTATTGTTTATTGTAATTAGAGATCTTCCACTTTGGCTTTAGGAGGCCCGAACTGCTTTTGCTTGTGGGATCTTCCATCATGGGCCGGGAAGATCCTACTCTTGGATTGGCAGCTGCATGCCTTAACACCCTACATAATGGAATAGACGGGTAAAAATAAATTATCCTCCATTTACTTGTATGAGAAGTGTCTTCAACTCCCTCAGTTGCCCCGACAGAAGTCGACTGGACTAGGGCCCATAAGTAGCCCACTCGACGGGCAACCAGAGGGTTCGGGCCCAAATGGCCTATGGATAATTATTATGTAATGGCTGGATAAACCAACACAAGCTTACCGAGTTCCGGAGGTAGGATCGACCACAAGGTACCGTACGTGTATAAATGTAACCTGACGACACCGATGTAATGTACTGCTAAGTATAACTAGGAGATTAACGAGTAATAGTCGCCCAACTTACAAAATGTACTTGAATTGCTAAAAATGTTGTTAAAAATGTTGAAAATGACCTAAAAATAGCTACATTAATAACTTGTAATGTTATTGTAAACTGTTAAAAATAAACATCTTATGAAGAAACGACTTGTATGATTTACTACTATTAACTTTACTTTTTCATTTGCAGCATAGATAGGGTAAAATTACTAAATTAAAAAAGTTTTTTTATTAATATTATTTGAAATTCACTGCCGTTAAGGCTGATTTGAAAATAAGTCCTTCACTTACGATCTTTCTTTTTCTCACTTATTATGCCCATTATCCAGGAAGCCGACGTATTGTGACGGGTAACTACGGAACCGTATCTCTACATTGTGCGTGGCACGGCACGCACTTGGTCGGTTTTTTATTCTATTGTTTTACAGTGTATATATTTTTAAAGCAATATAATTAATTTTTTTTTAATTTTACGGTTTTCTATTTTAAAATATATATTTTAATATATAGGTATTACACTCAAATAATATATATTTTTAATGATTTTATTAAAACCTTTGCTTATTAAGTATCTTTTAAGTCGAAAAATTTC